AATAAAAATTCCAGAATCTTTAATATATATATATATTAAAAAAAAGAAATACAGGTAACAGAGATGGGAGGTAACCCAGTTGCAGGTCATTCCATTATGTCTGCTAGCTCCAAGGACATGAGATAGTGGAGGATGCAGTCCATCTCTTAGTGCCTGAGATGATGAGTGGGAGAAAAACCTGTGTTCATTTGAACCTGAAACACCTGCAGAAATGTCTGGTTAATTAACAAGCTCCTTTGACTGGACAGATAATCAGCTTAGCAACAGGTCTGGTGGTTAGGTTACATCATTTGCCCTACACCTGGCCAACACTGGGCCAGGGCCATAAAGATTTTCATTCTAGTTCTTTGCTTTTAGCATGCTGCAGGCCTCTGCTCTTAACTACTGTGTTGTTGACCATTGTGTTGGGCTACAGGCCACTGCCTCGGGTGTTTACTGGGACTGACCCTGTGCTTGGATTCACCTGGGTGCTATCTCGTTTGGTGGGTCTTGGTGACTGGAAACGTCTTAGAGTGACTGGCCCAAGGTCACCCAGCAAGTTTCCATGGCAGAGTGGGGATTCGCACCTAGCCCTCCCAGATCCTAGCCCAACACTCTTACCACTCTAAACTGGGTTTTTGCTCCTGCTTAGTTTCTTAACTATATTGGTCTTCCCACCAGTATTTTTGCTCTCATCCCCCCCCAGGGTTTCCAACACCACACAAATGGCATGACAAAACACAGGAAAAACTAAGAAAGACAGGAAGAAAGCCCTACAAATGAACCTGTACCCACTGTCTCGCTGTAGTGAGCTACCCCTCATGTCCGCCTCTCTTTTTTTGGGTGGGCGCAGCCTCCTGGTCATCAGCACACCAGGATTCTTCCTGGTGGTCCTACAGCCATTCTGCCCCTGGCTTGGGAAATACCTGGAGACTTTGGGGGTGGATCGGGGAGAGGGCAGGGTTTGGGGAGGGGAGGGGCCTCAGCCTAGTACAGTGCCATGGAGTTCACCCTTCAAAGCAGCCATTTTCTCCAGGGGAGTTGATCTCAGTCAGCTGGGGAATCAGTTGTAAAAGCAGGGAACTCCAGGACCCACCTGGAGGCTGGCAACCCTACCCTGGTAGCTTGTAATTTGTTGGGGAAATTCTGTTTGCTAGATTATCTGTGTGGCATAAAATGGACAAGGAGATAAGTAGGAAGCTATTATTTGATCCCGCTCCACAGATTATAATAAATTGTGCTAAGTTTCTAGCAATAGCCCAAAAAATACGGGCTGCACATGTTTTATAATTTTAGAAAGAATCCAGAAGACTTAGGAGATATATTCAACAGTTGAATAACAGTTGATAGACTATTGTAGATATTTAGAGTTTTAGTAATTTTGTAATTAACATATGCAGATCAAATGCAGTTTTATATTTAAATATTTTATATATATTATTGGTACCCTTTTGTATTGTTTGTAATTGGGCTGGTGATATACCGAATAAACTGAAACCAAACTAGTGTGGCATAAAACCCAACAGAAAGAAAGAAACTGACCATCAGAATGGTTGAGAAGGAGCACAAAAGCAGTGCATTCAATTCCCACTGGGATTCCTAGGCATGTCTACTGTGGATGCTCCTGTCCCATTCACCCACCCAAACCCCCAAAGTATTTCAGGAACACCTACCAGGCGGCTCTCTTTAAACTGTCCTTTCAGCATACTGTCCAGAGGGAAGGAGACAATGTTGTTCAAGTTCTGCACCTGGGGGGGATAAATCAGTAACAGAATTAATGTTCAGTGTTTAAACACACACAACGTAACACCTCTTCCAAATCAGAACAAAAGGACCATTTCCCACAGTGGCCAACATGTTGGGTATGCTTTAGTTACCTTGATTTCCTTCAGATTCTGTGACAGCATAGTGCAGTGGTTAAAGCACCAGTCTTGGACATAGCAGACCCATATTCAAAGCCCCATCTTGCCATAGTATTTTGATGGGTGATCTTAGGCCAATCACTTCCCACATCCACCCAAAGCTGTTTTGAAAATTACAGGGGAAAGGAGAAACCGTATATACCGCCCTGAGCTCATTTAAAGGACAGAAAGAGCAATAGAATATAAGGTGGGGTCTGGAACCTAACAGCAAAGTCGACCAATCTTTGGATACTTAAATCCGGTAACTGAATCAGTGAAAGGGCAAGACAGATCTTTCTATAAACATGAAAAGGGCCCTGGGTTTGCAGAAAAATATATATAAAAAATACATTGGCGGGTTTAAAAAACTCGAAAATGATAAAAGGAGCACCTGTAGCATTCAGTAACAGATTTCCCCAGTGGCTGTTGCCAATATTCCAAGCTGGGTTTATATGAGGAAAAAAGCAGGGGGCGGGAACAGGGCCCTTTCCAATGCCAAACCTAGGCTGGAGTGATTGATCTGCTACTAGGAAATTTTAAAGGTGTTTGCGTTCCGTCTGTAAACTTCTTGTTGAAACCAGTTGTTATTGGTCACATTATTAAAAGGATCATCAGCTCTTGAAAAAGAGAGTTCAGAACAGCAAATATCAAATGCCTGTTGGGTTTAATGATCCTTGGTTCATCGTTACGTCATGACCCTGAAGGAAGTCCAAGCAGAAGGATAATCTTTTCAAGAGTGCTTGCATTTATGGACTTCATATATTTCTACTTCATTTAAGGACTGACCATACACTATTGTAATGGTTGGAATGGGCTTTTCTAATCTTATGTGAAGCATTTTGTATGTTAGTAAATAGGATGGCATATAAACATAGTAATCTAATTATAAAGCACGTTGAGTTTTTGTAAACATACACTTTATTACTTTAAATACACTCTTTACAGTATTTTCTCCAGGGAGACAGATCTCTTTGTCTAGAGTCCAACTGTAATTCTGGGAGAACTCCATGTCCCACCCGGAGGCTGGAAACCCCAGGCCTGGAAGCAACCTCTGGTGACTTGGTATCACCCAACTTTCATGACTCAACTAGGCCTGGCTGTCTGCTACTGCTTAACAGCAGCCACCCTATGAAAGCCAGTGTGGAGTAGCGGAGCTTCAGAGTAGGGTGAGGAGACCCAGGTTCAAATTCCCATATTGCTTATGCATGATTTTGGACTGTCACATACTTTCAGTCTAATCTACCTCATAGTGTCAAAAAAAGAGGAGAGAAGTAGTATATAAACTGCTTTGTTCCCCACTGTGGAAAAAGGTGGGGTATAAATGAACTAAATAAATCATTAATACAGCTGAAGATGGGAGGCAGATAAAAAGTAGGTTGGTGAATGGTTGAGGAGACAATGATTCAAGGAAAGGGGAGAGGGCATGTGAGGAGGGGGTACAGGGGAAAGTGGGGTGCCACCCCACAAGTCCTTGAGGGTTCCTACCATGCAAGTGGGCCTGGACCAGCAGCTGGCACCACACAACTGGGCCACAGTTTTCCTTGGTAGAGGCTGCCGGGGGAGGGGTTAAGATAGAGGGGCAGATAAAGGTAGGTTGGCTGGTGGGTGGGAAGGAGATAGGGCTGCCAAGTCCAGTTAGGAAATTCCTAGAGATCTGGGGGGTGAAACCTGGGGAGGGTGGGGTTTGAGGGGTATAATGCCATAGACTCCTCCCTCCAAAGAAACCATTTCCTCAAGAGGAACTAGGGTTGCCCACCTCTAGGAGGGGCTTGAGCTCACCTGAAATTACAACTGCTCTCCAGATGACAGAGATCTGTTCCCCTGGTGAAAATGGCCGCTTTGGAGGGTGGACTCCATGGCATTATACCCTGATGAAGTCGCTTCCCTCCCCAAACCCCACCCTTTCAAGGTTCCACCCCTCAAGTCTCCAGGAATTTCCCAACCTGGAGCTGGCAACCCTAATAGTAGGACCGCTCTCTTTAGTTTGGAGATCTGCTGTGATTCCACGACATCTCCAGGCCTGACCTGGAGGCTGACAACTCTAAAAGGAGACAAGGAAGCAGTGAAAAGAGAGAGGTTATTGGGCTTTCAGGAAAAGGAAAGAGGAAATATTGGGACAGGAGGAAATGAGGTGCCTCCCACAAGCCCTTGAGGGTTCCCACTTGTTTGATCTATAAAGTCAACCTGCATTGCAGTTTTCATTTAAAAACAAAGCAGCCTGTATAACTTGTAGCTTCATAGAATGCATGGACAGCACTCAGCCCAGGGACCTGAAGTCTCAGGAAAGACTGGAAACATTCGTGAGAAAAACACTGTGTTTTTACATCCCCCCCTCTACCCCCAACTTCTCTAAAAAAGTGTTTTCTGATGAAAAATTGTTTGGGACATTTTTTGGAGCACACTGACAGTTCCTGGGGTTGGTGACTGATCTTAGGTCCCATCTTAGGGTTTTGCTACACAAGGAAACCAGTAGGAAACCAAGCAGGAGCCCATGTGATACGATGATCCATATACTGAAATGAGACTGGAGCAATCTGAGTCTAAACAGTCATAAGCTCACTGGGTCACCTTGGACCGGTCCCTTTCTTAGATTAACCTACCTCACAGGGTTGTTGTGCTGTGCTCCTTGAAGGAAGGACAGGATACAAAGACATTAGGGAAAAATAGCAGCAACACTACCCATATCATTGCTCTGTGTCAGGTCTCCCAGTTAAGACACTCTCCACAACACGCTTAAGCAGTGGTTGTTTATTGAGATACTAGGAGTGATGCCCGTTGTGGGAAGAAATACAATGAGATCTAGAAGGAAGCTCCAGATGAGTGTCCCGACTGTGGCTGGTGGGGCAGCAGAGGGAAGCGGAAAATGGAGGGAGGCAAGCCATGTTTCTTTCCTTCTGCTTAGCTATAAGGCAGGGCTGTCTCAAGTCATTTTGCTGCCCCAAGTGGGTAGAATGGGAGGACTCATGGTAGCAGATATGGTTCTCTCCACCTTGGACTTATTTTTTGAGTGGGAGGGGGGTGTTATGCAGTGGCAGCTAAGGTAGAAAAGCACCTCCTCCTGTGCCATGTTTTCTGGGTTCCAAGGGTCTGAAAAGTAGTTCCATAGCTGATTACATGGTTGCCAACTCTGGGTTGGAACATAACTGTAGATTTGAGGGGTAGAGCCTTGGGAGGGCAGAGCTTGGGGTGGGGAGGGACCTCAGCAGGGTATAAT